ACTCTCAAGGATCTAGGCACCAGTATCTACAAAGATGCTTTAGGGAGTTAGTGACTTAGGTTTGCCTTGAAGCACAGGAAGCCTTTATAGCCAATCCACTGTCAGACAATGACTCGGGTCCCAAACATCCACCTTGCCTGCCCTCTGTTAGCAAAGTGTTGGAAAAATATTGCCCAGCTCTTTACACAAGGCCTTTGTTGGCTGGTCAGCTTCAAAAACACTGCTTTTCACTCCCAGGTGACAGCACTGCCATGAAAAACAGGAAGAGATTGAATACAGTAATTTAAACAGTCAAACTCCATTTCTTGCCAAAAGGAAAAGAAAATACCAGCAAAAGGCAGAAGCCAGGCGATAGCTGGGGACAGACACTTTGATTATCTTGGACAGATATTCAAGCTGTCTATCCAGTAAAAGCTGCAGTGATCGAAGTGACACCTTTTCAGTTCAGAGACTGGATTTTGTTAGGCTGCAGAGCAGCAGGTGATGCTGCGAGGCACATCAGGCTGATGAGGACACTAGGATCTCCCAGAACAGCAGGCCTGGGTTGCAACCAGCTCCTAAGCTGACAGCCAGCATCACATGCTATCGACATGGAAGTTGTGCATGCTCCATCCCTGGCAGTGTTCAAGGCCAGGTGGGACAGAGTCTTGGGTGACATGGTCTAGTGTGAGGTGTCTCTGCCCATGGCAGGGGGTTGGAACTGGATGATCTTAAGGTCCTTTCCAACCCAACCCATTCTATGATTCTGTGATTCTATGACATAACGTGTTTGGGGTGTCATTGAAAACCAAAGTTCCAACAAGGATCCACGTTCCTCTCGCATCTCCCCAGGAGGCCATGGCACCCTCATGCTACTTTGGGGTCAGTCTCTAATACCTCATTTGTGCTTGTATGCCCCACACAGCAGTTCACCAGCTTGCTCCCTAAGGTAGAGCGGAAGGCTCCCCTAACTTCACTATTGAGCATACCAGTAATGCAATCGCTGGGCTTCAAAATGCACCTATTGTTAATCCTATTCCATAGTAATGAAATTCAACAGATCCCCCAATGATCAAGTCCTGTACAAAATGGACCATTTACATCTCCATCCTCTTCCCAAAGTACCTCTTCTTCTAAGAAATACAGCATGTCCTAACTGTATCAACCTTTAATTACAAAGTTTATGAAGCATATTTAAACCATGGCCTTCTTTAACCAACATGAAGATTGTTTTCTGCTTTAAGAACCATAGAATTTGGGTTGGAAGGGACCTTCAAGCTCATCCAGTTCCAACCCCTGCCCCGGGCAGGGACACCTTCCACTAGAGCAGGTTGCTCCAAGCCCCTGTGTCCAACGTGGCCTTGAACACTGCCAGGGATGGGGCAGCCACAGCTTCTCTGGGCACTCTGTTCCAATGCGTCTACTTTCCCCTCCAGGACAACCTTTCCTCCTGCCAACACCCTGTTTGTCCACACAGCCTCAGTCCCTCTGCTCCATACACTGATGCACCACAATGCACCCTGGAAGTGGTCACATTTTGGTGACACACAAAGCTCTTGCCACATAGCCAGAGGGGACGAGGTGCTCTCTGTAAGTACGAATGGCTTCAGCATCAGGAAAGGAGATTTAGATTAGACATGCAAGAAAACTTCCTAAAAGCAGCTAAAACAGATTATGTAGGGTGAGAGACGAGCCTCCCTACATTGCTCCATTGCTGGAGGTTAAGAAAAGGTGAGACAAACATCTGCCAGCAATGTTATAAGCAGGGCAGAAGGGCAAATCAGATGACACCATAAGACTTCTTTTTTTTCCCCAGCTTCATTTTTCTATGATTATATGAATTTCTATGCATTTGGGGTCAAGGGTGTTCTTTAAATATAAGCTATTACCTTGTATTTGCTGCAAGGAAAACCAGGGAGGTATTACCTGGAACTGTTGTTCGTCACCTGAGTGAACATTGCCAATTTGCAAATCAACAGCCCAGACATCAAAATCCATCATTTTTTCCTGATTTATGCTGAAGATTAATAGGAAGAAAGCTGTAACACAGGAACAGAGGAGGAATGAACACTGAGGATCCTCCATTCATCTCTGGACTTTTATATTTACCGTTCTGGAAACTCTTCTATCACACTGCTAACATAGAATCATAGAATGGTTTGGATTGGAAAGGAGCTTAAGATCATCTAGTTCCAACTCCCTGCAACATGAACATGTGGTTGGCACAAGAGAAGCACAGGCTCATTCCAGTTGTGCCTCCATCCTTTGCCTTCACATTGGGTTTGCAAACCAGTCTCCAGGACACCCAACCCTGCAGGACATTAGTAGACCCAATGCCTCCTGCTGCATGTTGACCATGAGACACTGTGTCCCCAGCCCAGCTTGTTGCCAAGTCCTACGTGACCTCAACTTCCCCACCTCCAGCTGCCTGACCAGAGGAACTGCAGACTCTGCACTGTATTACTCCAACATTCCCCTACATCCCTGTAATTATTTGTGTGCACAATGCAAGTGAAGAGAGCTGTGTTGGGAATGGTCCCCAGGAGACTTCTTTCTCTTGCCCTAAAGCAGCCTTGAATAAGCATTACACCAAGGCAGGAACAGAAGCATCCTAACATGCGGATCCCCTTTGAGTCAGTTATCACCCTATTAGAAAACCATTTGTTACTCAGAGCTAGACCAGACTATGCACCAAGATGCAAGGACAATGCAGTGAGCCCAGCTCCATAATTCATGGTCCTACAGTTAATACCATAAAGAAAGGCTGAAATACGTCTTCTAACAGTGTTCTCTGCAATGCTCAGAGATGGTTTCCTACATCTCATCTCTACCCATCTGCTCAATACCAGGCACATCAGCTGTATCACTGTTCACATGCAGGATTTTGGCTGCTGAGGGCAGCTAAAGCTCAGGTCCAACCTCAACCACAGACAGGTTAAGCTTCTATTTGCACCAGCAAAGAAATATTTGACATCCACAAAAAAAACAGGGGAAGTCTCACTGATGAGTTTATAATTGGTTTTAGAGCTGCCTGAAATACATGTGCTAAGAGGCAGAGCTGCAGTGCTGGTGGATAGCTGGCAACTCAGGACATCAGCAAAAGGAGACGAGGCCCTCAGACATATATCCAGGCTCCAAAATACTTCACCAACCATCAAATATTTTCCAAGCTTAGCAGCTGGACTGTGCAACCCTTACAGCAGCCAAGTCACTAATACCTCTTCCCTTGGGCAGCACAGCTGATCTCAGACAGGCCTTGCCAGCAGCTCTAAGCAGCCTCATTTAAAGAGGGGACAGCCTACTTAGTTACACTGTTCAGACTCCTGGGTTTTTCTCTTCAAGGATCTCCAGGCTCTTTTTCCAGCTGGGAAGCATTAGCATCTCTGATTCAGAGTGAAGAAATGCAATCACAAATATACTCTAAGTGTTTTTCCCACTGTGTCAACCAGTCCCTGGTTCCTTGTCATCTCCCCAGCCTCTGTCCCTTCAAATTCAGTCTATCATTCTTCTTGGTTGGTTCTCACAATAAAGGACACAAGAAAGTTGTTGGCCTTTTTGCTCCTATCTAAAGCCATGGAAACCAGGTTACTGAGAGGTTTCAAACCTCCTGATTTGGGAGGTCCAATACTGCAAACATTAGTATGGAGCACAAGCAGAAGGGATATGTAAATGCATGGAGAGGCTTAACAGCCCAGGAAAGAAACTCCAATGGGAAGCTCCCAGCTTAAATCTAAAGGCAGCTTTTTGAATGTGCAGAGGCCTTAAGGCTAAACAAAAAACTCAAAGCCAGATTTGGGCATAGCCTTTCTCCCTGTGCAATAATCCATCGGGAACTTTGCAGGTCTAAGCAGAAGAGATCCCAACTAAAATGAAGGACTTGTCCCTCCGCATGGTTGCCGTGGGAGTATGAGAGCAGTGCAAGGTCAAGCAGTGATGCTGGCTGCACTGGTGTAAAGGGGAATTAGGGCAGAGTAAGGCAGGATCAGCCTCCCTGCAATTAAAGGGGAAAATATTCCCATGCGTTCCTCTTGGTCTGTCCTTGTCCTGCAAAGGAACAACAGCAGGGATCCCACAGCAAAGAGGCTTGAGTACGAGGGAAAAGCCAGAGCAATCCCATATCCTTGACTGCCTTGAGGTTATGGGGCAGGAAAACACTCTGGTGTTTCTCCATATTCCCTTTGCTCAGGCTTGAACTTGCCTCTGACTTGAAAGAGCTAATTAAGGGAGGAAATCAAAGCCCAGAGAAGGGGCTATTACAGCAGCCTGGGTGCAGTGCTGCCTGTAATGCTGATTTCTGTGCATGGCATCAAAGCTGGCGCAGATTTCTGCAGTCACACTGTAGTGAACTGACAGAATAAACTAAGGCAATTTCTTCAGGCCATTTGTAGGTCAGGTGGACCAGGCTCTTCCCCTGTCCTGCCCTTCAATCTGGTAACATTTAACCCTTGATCTGCAGCCAGGCCTTAATTCTTCAGTGCAGAGGGAACACAGAGCTGGCTGGGAAGGGAAGATGAGGGACTTTGATGGTTAATGACCAGTGCTGCTCAGCCCTAGAACAAGGGGTCCCTGAACAAATCCTGCTCCAACTCCAGCCCAGGGAAAGAAAATTACTCCAGTAGACATGGAAACCAGCACAAACCATCGACATTATCGAGGCCCTGTTTTGGTTTAGGTTTGAGCTAGGGCTGCAAGAAGAAATGTCATTTCACCCTTAAAGAATTGCACAGTGAAGTGATCACAATAGGAAAATTCCACCAAAAGATTTCAAGGCCCCTTGGCTTAGATCATCAGCAATCATAGCATGCCTAGGGAGGTCAGAAAGCGACACAGTGAGACCCTCCTCAGCTCATCCATGAGCAAACTGAGGCATGAACTGGTTGAAATAGGTGCAGTGGTGATGTGAGGCAGAGCCAGGACCAGGATGAAGCAGTCTGAGTTCCTCAGTCCCTGCTCTAATCGTTGAGCCATGCTCTGTGAGCACAGCAGGAGGTTAAGGTTGGGTGCTTTGGGGCTCCACTTACCGCACTGCTACAGGGAATGTCCTTGACTTTGAGCCAGGCCAGATCTAACGTCCCCTCTCCCCTGTAGCAGGACTGCAGCCTGTCCTTGATGCGGTCGTTGATCTTTTTCAGGACAAAGATGCAAAGAGCAGACTCATCCAAGGACTTCATCTTCCTTTTCTGCCCCTTGGAGAAGACTGTGAAGAGGATATCATCCTCAGGGCCAACACTCAAAGACCTTGCTAAGATAGCTCCAGCCTTAGACAAGTAAGCTGCCTGGAGCAACCGGTACTCCACCCCGTTCTTCTCACAGCCAATGGGCACCTCAACATAGGAGTTAAAGGCTGTGTCCTCCTTACAAAGCCGGACCAGCTTGGAGGTATAAACCTGCTCCTTCGTGGTGGACCCCGGTGGTGAGATCATCTCAGGCTGTAGAGTCAGGAAGTAGACAAAGTTACCACTGCTGAAGCCATAGATGTAGTAGATATCAAAGTCAGGGATAATGGTGAAGGTGTCTGAGGGGATCTTGATCATAGAGGCCACAAACTCATCATGAAAGACATATGCAAACATCCCATCTGCCTCGGAGTTCTTGGTGAGCTTCCTGCTGGAAATGGTGGGGAAATACTCAGGTTTGCCATCCACAGCAGTGGCAATGAACAACTTGTCATCCATGTTGCTGTAAGAAACAATGACTCCAAAAACAGAGCCACTCTCATTCACCCCAGAGAGGTAATGCTCCTTCTTGTGGAAGGGCTCTCCCAGTTTGAAGAGGTCATCCAGCCTCAAAAGCTTGCAGATGCCCTGGTAAAGACTCCCGCAGGCTATCAATCGATTCTCCTTGTAGTCTATGAGGAGCATTTTGTTAATGTTGTTAGTGGGTGTCAGGGGTTCGTTGCAAGTTTGGACTATCCTGGGGGGATAACACTTGGGATTATCTTCATCAGGACCAGTCTGATGGGTCACCAAGACCTTCAGGTCACTGGAGAGTTTGTAGATCCTGTTGACAGCTCCCAAGTAAATGTGCCCAGTTCTTTCGTCAACTACCAAATGGTTGAAGTTTCCCTCTTGGTCTGAAGTAAAAGTGATGAAGGGCCTCTTTGGATGGAGTGGTTGCTGCCTACCAAGAGGTGACACTGTGGTGGATAGCAGGAGGTGAGAAACCAGGCAAGTCCATTTCCACATGGCCGGTGACATGATTAGAAATGCTTGTATTCCCAAGGGAAGGAGGATTAAAAGCTGTATGAGCCTTCAAAACACCAATTCCCTGGCAGATTTTGTCCTACAAGCAAAGACAAAAGAAAACAAAAGTACATTACTATGGAGTATTCCTTCCTCCTCCCTCCTTCACAACCATGCCATCATCAGAGCCTATTTAATTGCTAATCCTCCCTTTCTCGTCTCTGAGCTCTCTACTTAAAACCAGCACAAAGGGAGCCCTCCTGAAAGAAAAGATGCTGGTGGAAAGAGCAGAAATCACACAGCAGAGTAATAAACTGGCACCTTTTTACTCTTCATTACACACACACACATGTGCTCTATGGTGCAGCCCATGTCACTGGAAGCCAGAGGAGTGCAAAAGGCATCAAGTACTACTGCTGTTTGCGCTGCCAGCTGTGTGTTTGCTATTGAAGAAGACAGGGCTGGACAAGGATTATTATCCTGCTCTACTGGAGGAGGGACTAAAGCCTAGAGAAGGTCAGGGACATGCCTACAGGGACAGGTCCAGATGGATGCTGAGCTCTTTTGTCACCCTTGAAGTGTGTCAGGAAGGAGCCAGCTCTGGTCTGACATTACCATCCTTTCCATTCAGGAGACCTCAGTCCAGAATGGGCCTGTTTGATCAAGCTTTCTGTGGCTTCCACATCAAAGCTGCCTCGTGCTGGTCCAGCTTGGAGTACAGACATAGGAGTTGTGGTGTGCCAGCCTTCACAGCCACGTCTACAGAGGGCATGCAGCCAAGCATGGAGCAAACTGAGCACCAGGTCTCCTCCCTCCCATGGGTTCTCACCACCAGACCGCTCTCCACCCACTGCACAGCCAAGAAAACAGTGTCTAAAAAAGAGAGAGTTTCCCTGAGCTTCTCAGATGAATGAGGAGAAAAGGGCTGCCTAACTATTAGCAGTAATAAAATCTAAAGGACCATGAAGTAGGAAAATTGATGACCCAGGGACCAGCCTGGTGAGTTTCTAAAGAGAGGAAAGAGGGATTCCTTGTACCACTCAGTCTCTTAAAATCTAACCAGGGTGGAGGGAGCAGTGGGGGGTTCAGACAGCTTCCATAATCACTAAGCACCATCCCCATGCCATGGAAATGCATCTTCCTACTCAACTTATCCATCTGCTCCCCATTCCTTCACTTTCTCATGGCTGCTTCTGTACCAAGAACAACTTTGGCCCTTTATGGCCCCACAGAGCATGTGAGAGGTGGAGTCCTGCCAGCTCAGCTCTCACAAGCCAAGTTCCTTGATGACTGCACAACCCTTGCTGTGTGGCCAGGCTGAGGCATACAGCCTTCATCCCCTCATCCCTCTGCAGCATCCAGATCAGAGTCCCACCAGACTGTTCTTGATTTCAAAAAGGACACAAACCAACCCCATTCTCTGCTCCTGCAGGCCAGTGTCCATCACCTCTCTCACAGAGTGCCTTTGCTGAAACCAGGGGTGTAACTGAGCAATGCTGATGCCAGCCAGCCCCACACAAGTAGAAGGCAAGGAAGAAATCACTATTCTCAGATCCCAGCAGGGAGGAAGCAGTGGCAGTGACCCAGGTCTGGATTTGCAGACTTTTCAAACCTGTGCAACTCTGCTAACACCAGTGAAATAATAAAGAGAATAAATCCCGTCTTCTTTTGACCTGTAGACTGATTAGATCTGACAGTAGAAAGGGTACATCTGGGCTTGCAGAGCACCCCCCACTTTTATGCCACCCCAAATCTTTCCAAGTTCTCCCAGGAGCCAGCATTTCAAAGCTGTTGTACGACCACCTCCACTTCCCACTGCCCTCCCTCCCGCAGCAGCCGCAGGCAATGGATAGATAACGGACAAAGGTCATTCCACATTTACTTTAGGTGTGTTTACCCTGCTCTGCTTTGCCTTTCTGGTCAAGCAAATATTTAATAAAATCAAGCTTAGACTGCAGAGTTTGCAAGACTTGTCTTGCGAGCAGGAGAGGATTCGCTCCGCAGGGATATGCAGGCTGGTCACGTAGGCTTTTAATAACCTTTACGATGATAGATAGAGCGGCGATGGGATGAGCTCTCCCCACACAACCATTCCTCTTTCAAAAGAAGCCATCCTTGAGAGAGCAGCAGAAGAGGGGAAGCTGTCCCTGTTTGAGTCCTGTGTTCAGAAACATCACGTGGCGACCCTGAACACCAGCTCCTGTCACTTCTGAGTTATGATCCATATTTCTAACAGACACAGGTTTGATCGGGCACTAGACAGATCTAGGAAGGAATTATTCTTTTCAAGTACTAAAAAGATCTCTATTTTGCCTCTATTTTTTGCTGTATTTTGCTCTTCTTAGTCCTGCAGTCAGCGCAGTTGCAGGACAGGGAAATGGGAACTGCTGTGACCCAGAGACTCAGAGGTAAAGAACAGCCCCTCTTCTGCAATAGGAGCCCTCTGCCCAAAGGTCATTGCAACACCCAAGAGTAGAGTTGCAACAACAGGAGGAAATATACCTATCAAAATAAGTGGCCAACACAACATAAGAGAAGATACACTCCAGACGTGAAATCTTTGAGGCCCAAGCAGGTGAGAATCAGGGCTGACTTTGAGGTGAGACTGTCACTTGTAGAGGATGGTGAAGGGAACCTTCCTCCAGGCACAGACAGCAAATTTGGTCTGGAAACCAGATACACCCCAGTGGGAAGCTCCAGGAAGGCTGGGTGAGGAGTCCCTTTTGCAGCAGACAAGTGGGCTTCAAAGATACTGAACCTCATGGGGAAGATGCTCCCCTGCAGAGGAAAGAGCATCAACAGTCTGACAGCACCAGTAGCCACTAAGCAAGAACAGGAACAGCCTTGTGGGACAAAGCAGGGAGAGCAGAAGCCTGGGGCTACCTTGCCACATTCCCCAGCCACCTGAGTGACCCTGGGAGCAGGATTTTCTTTCTGTGCACTGCTGGCACTCACTCCTACTCTCCCATCTGCTCAAGTTGTTTGTCCTGCACCCTCTGTCCTGGAGTCTCAAACAGTTCTTGAGCCTTTAAGGGCTATAATTTATAATGTGGCTGTTATTTTTCATTAATAAATAACAGCAAAGGGCAGAGGCAAGGAGGACTGGTTGTTTAGCTTGCAGAATAGAGCACAGTTTGTACCACCCCGTAGAGGATGCACCAAGGAGAAGGGGGTTATGCATGTCTTTTTATGACCTATGTCTCTATAGCAGAAGTCATAGCTGCTGGGAAGACAAATAATGCAGTGCTATAGACATACCCTGTCTCTTAAGCTGCTCAGTCTAAGAGAGAGTGATCACATTATATGAAGAAAAAAGCAAATAACAAAGGCCACAGTGAGGTCTGGGCTTTGGCTTTAAGCTGGGTATTGCCAAAATAAGCCCAAACCACCTTCCCACAATGGCCAGGCTCATTCTCCTTTCCCCCTCCAGGGACATGACCAGCAGCGATGCCATGACCCACTACCATGTAGAGCTCCTGTGTGAGACTAAAATGTCCCTCTACATGGCTCCTGCCACAACAGGCTCTTCAGCAGCACATTCAATGTCCCTGGGAAGGTCACACAGCCTCTACAGCCCCAGAGATCTGTAGGGGAAGAGCTTTTGGTAGAAAGCAGCCCTGATTTTAATCCCTCTGTTAGCAACAGCTTGTTCCCCGCTGTACCCTTCATGTGTAGTGGTGGTACTGAGGGGATGCCACAGGTCATAACAACACAAAGCTATGAAATAACACATTCACCTTTGAATTTAGAGTTTGGTTTAAGGACTGGTTTCCTCCTAAAGGACAGGAAGTTATGATGCTACACTATGGTGTGGTTACTTTTTTACTGCTATTGACCATTTCCACCAAAGGTTAGAGAGCACTGAGTTAAAGGATGCAGCTTGGTTCTGCTCAGGGCTCTCAAGGACATTATCCCAAGACTCTACAACATGCAACACTATGATAAATAGATGCAGCCCTGGACAAGAAAAGTTTATATGGAAAAAAAGCCTCAAAGGAAGAAACTTTCCTGTCTCCTTTTGACTCATTGGTTGCTGTTATCAGATGGGAAAGCTACAGAATGCTGAATACAGTCTCAAAATGCAGCAGGTTCCAAAGGGGACGAAGTCAAGAAGGATGCCCTATGGCTGAGGAAGTAGGAATAAATCAGGAATAAAAAGGACACAAAGGACTGGTCTGTCAGTTGAGAGGGAGGGAAGGACTTGGAGGAAGTGTATAGGGAAAGGGGAAAGAGGGAGCTGGGGCATTCAGTTTTGACTGACAATCTCACAAAAGCCATGGTCATGTCCCTGGCACAAATCGACCCCACTACAATGACAGATCCTGAAAGGAACATGTCACTGGGTGAACATGGGAGGTAACAGCATCTCCCCATTTGGCATATATACACACACAACCCTCCTGCCATCAAAGGTGGCAGACAGAAAACCATGTCCCCTGCCACAACCACTCCAAGGTCAATGGCAAGAGGAATCATGCACGAGAATGTGGTTGCAAAAAGCCATGGAAGCAACCCAGCCCTGGGTCCAGCTCCAGCCAGGACCTCAGAGCAAAAGTACATATTAACATCTAGAACATAACCAAAACATGTTGAAAAACAGCACTAGGAGGGGGAGAAAACCCACCACATCCTCCTGCATATTGGGGCTGACCACCCCATGGCTGGTGGGATGGGCTTGGTCACTTCTCCACCAGGCAGCACATAGCTAGGAGGAAGCCACCAGCACCCAGGACTCCTGGGCAATGCCAATGGCACAGGCTGGGTGGGTACTAAAGCCCAGCAGTGATCAGGCAGCACGCTCCTCTGTTTACTTCTGCTCCACTCACACACATCTATTCATTTCCCGGGATGCGGGAGGACGTGCAGGGATGCTGACAAGGCAGACGCCCAGCAATGGAGCCAGCACAGAGCAATTCAGCACCAAGTGCAGCTACACAATCCCTTTAATCTCAGCTAAAGAGGGGGTTTTTTTTCCCAGCTTCCTTTAATAAACCCTGATTACC